TACCATATGGCAGCCTAATTTAAAATTGAATCCCGAGACTAGTGACAGGGTTATGTGCATATCACTCAGTGGAGCCTCAGTTCTAGTGGGGAAATCAGATATGGGTACAAATAAGTCGGGTGTTGAGTTTGAAGAGAATTTCCGAGCAAAGCATTCAACCATATCTGCCTATGTCAGGACTTCAAATTGATTGAATAGGAGAGAGATTGAGGATTTGCTGTTGTTCAGCACACTCTTTCAGAGCCTCCTGTAATCTCTAGAACCGAACTTGTGAGATGCTATATGTTGTTTTTTCTTTCTATCAGCAAACAGTAACTTCGCTTCATTGAGGACACGCTTGCACTCATTACGAGCAGAAACAAAGAGTCGTCTGTTGCAATCAAACGTGTTGCTTTGGTACAAACGGAAGAAATGATTCCTGTGGGCTATAGCAGCCGAGCATGCAGGTGAGAATCAAGGAGATGAACGCAGTTTAACTTGGCATTTCATTGCTGGAATGAAAGCATCGAAGTCGGCCTTCACCCAGGAGGAGACCTCAGACGCTCATTTCTGAACAGGATGATTGAAAACTTCATTCCAAGGATGTCACGAAGGAAATCACGGAACGAGTCCCAATCTGCTCGTTGATAGCAGAAAGGATGGTAGGATGTCATTGGTTGGTGGGTAGCGGAAGAAGATGATCAGAGTTGCCAAGAGGGTAGAGCTGCGCAATACGACAAGAGTCAAGGATAGAAGTAAAAAAGAGATCAAGAAGAGAAGCGTATCCGTCAGATTTACTGGGAAAACGCGATGTCGATTATATGATTATATTTAATTATTACTTTATATCTATACTAGCAGCAGGAAAAAATCTTTCACATTAATCGGACGATATATTGCGGTATAAAACAAAGATACTTAAAGAAAGAGATCAGTTGCCCGAAAAAACACAGAGAATAGCCAGGACTTTTCTCTAAAATCATACACATTGTCATTACACACGTAATTCAGAAACAGAAATCCGAAGTTTTCAGTCTTTGCTTACTTATTAGGAAAGTCATCTTAAGCACATATGAGGCAGGATAAAAAAATGTAATTTTCAATTACCTCCCTTTCTTCTTCTTCTTCTTCTTCTTCTTCTTCACATCCTCCATCTACCTTTCTATTGTGCACAATGTGGTGCGTTTGTTCATTTATTTTTTATTAATTAATATAGCGGTCTTTATTTAGAAAAACAAATAAAGCGTTAAGAGGTCATTTGATAAAAAATCACCTGAGGAGACCGTAAGGTTGAAACCAAGGTGGCGGATTCAACTGACTTCGTGATTTTTAAAGTTAAAAATTCTAGATGATATTTGTGCTTTTATTTTATTTATTTTTCATGTGTATTGAACACTTTTAATACGTCTGTTTCAGGTCTGATTCAACTGTGTTAACCTTTTATGTTTATATATATATATATATATATATATATATATATATATATATAATTATTTATTTAAAAATATGATTTCAACACGCTATATAAGAGTTCTCATGTTTCAAAACAAAGAGCCGAAAACTTCAATATAATTAATTGAATTAAATTGAATTAAAGTAAAATTTCGCTTGAAGATGGAACGGAGCTTAGTACTTTAATTCAATTTAATTCAAATAATTATATCGAAGTTTTCGCTCTTGTTTTGAAAACATGAGAACTCTTTATGTATGTGTTGAACATATTTTAAATGAATAATTATATTTATGCTCTACTTTTTGTATCGAGCACTATTTTTTTAAAAATAACAATACTAAAGAACTTTGGATTATTTACCTAACGAGTTCTTTCCTATTTTCTATATATTTTTCACACACACACACACACACACACACACACACACACACACACACACACACACACATATATATATATATATATATATCTTTGAATAAAGAAGGGGGTTTTACAACAGAGGTGGACTAAATTTATCTGACACACACACACACACTCGCACATATAAATATACATGCACATGTCAATTCTGAAGAACCGATGCGCAGATAAAAGATAGACGCTTACCCACAGATGTATATATACGGAGATGAAGAATTCAGATTGACAGATGCAATAAGAGTACTAAAGAGAGATCATTCAAAAGAGTTTATACCACTCAAATGTGTAAAGCGTATGCAAGTGTCCATTGAACACTCTCATAGAAAGGGCAATTTAACAGCCCAGAAAGAAAGATGGAAATCCTTTCAATCTATCCACCTTTCATTCATCCACAAGATTCAATTTCCAGATTGCTGACCCCAATAATCGCAGGTCTAACTATCCCGAGTCAATGGAAAATAAACAGTGATCAGTAACCTCGAAGTACTGGTCAGCCAATCTGATTGGCCACTTCGGTCAGAAAATCCATTTTCACTCACTTCATATACCAAGAGTACAAAGGCTTTAACTTTGGAATAATTACTCTAAACGCCATACGAAAGAAAGAAAAAAGGTGAGAGAGAAGGATAATGGCACTGGGAGAAAGGGAAATGTATATGCCTAGAGGTAGTAGAGTTGGAAGGGAAAGGAGGATAGGGAGAAAGAGGGTAGAATGAAATGGAGAGGGCAGGATAGATTGTTACGGACAGAGAGGGGGAGAAAAAAGAGTGAAAGAGGTTATTCCTTTTCCTTTTCTTCTGTTTTTGCCAAATTTAGAAATAACAGGATTTCGTAAACCTGGATAACATAACATCCATGTGCATTTTCGGTTTTAACTCCAGGACTACGGAATAGGACAGCAATATCTTTGATACACATGAAGAAAGCAGAAGAAAAACTAAAATGATTATCAATTTGGTATTAAGAGATGTGCAAGTTTTTTGTTTTTTTTTCCTTCATTTCAGTTTCAATTTTCTTAACACGTTGTCTCCCACCCGACCCCTGGAGGGTTGTGGTGATATACCTGTAAGGCCCACACGTCCCCGGTGGGTTGTTTTCCAATTTACTTTCTGTGAGGATTATTGGGAGTGGGGTGCTATGATTGATTGGTTATGAGATCATGGTATACCATAATCACATTTTTTCCATTTATTTGGTTTTTCCTTTTGGAATTTCTACTGTTGTTTTTGGGGGTCATTTTTTAATTTATTTTTACATACACAGAGCTGTACCATGCATTTATGTAGATCGTATAGGAGTCTTTTTGTAAAATGGCCTCAGGTACTGAACGACATACCTATTCTCCGTAATCTAATGTTATACTGAATTTTAGAAATTTTGGATTTAATTTACTATAATCATCGCTCGCCCGTACTTACGAAAAACGGCACGTTTATACTCTAATAAGAAAAATTCAAAATTTTAAAAATATTGGTGTTTGATGATTTGTATTAAGCTTTTCCAGTTATGATTAGTAAATATAGTTTTCACTTAATAATAATATCATCTAAAAGGCTGAAATTAATACAGAATTTTAAAAGATTTAAAACTTAATAAATTTTTCTAATTCAAATTTTTAAAAAAATGTAAACAATTCTTTTAAAAATTCATTATCCATCGAAAAATTTTTATTAAGACAATAGTGTCCTTAATATATCTTATAATTAAAAACTTTTCTAATTAAATAATGTCATAATTTTACTGCATTTTTTATTTTATGATTCAGAGTAGATTTTCAATAAATGGGACAAAAGCAAATTGATGATTTAAACTAAAGTAATCCTGTTTTAACTAATATAAATACAAAAACCCCTAGAATTTTAATTTAGCAAGATTTCAAAAATTAAGTAAGTGGGGGTAACAGATGTAAGAAACAAATTTTCTAAAAAACAGTATTTAAAAACTAATTCCATTCATTTGTGAATAAGTCGTGAAAATTTAATTAAAATACATTTGTTTGATTTTTTTCAAGAATTTCCAAATCAATGTCTTTTTTACCACAAAAATGCTAAATAACTCATAGTAATCTTTAGTCCACCCGCTAACGCAAGAAAAACACTATTTTTAACCAAAATTTCGAATGTGCTAGAAAGGATTAAAAAATTATGAAAATAATAAAATATAATTTGGTCTTTCAATAATTGTCTATAGTTCTGAGATGAAGTATTATAACTATTTACATTATTTACATTGTTCGGAGTGTTGTCTTCATCTTTATTGTCCTGTTCACGGCGTTTCGGCCGTTTCACGCTCCGGCCTTCTTTAGGTAATTGGAATTTCGGACTGAACCTTTTATTTTGTCCAATCTACCTCGGTGGACAAAATATAGGGTCCAGTTCAAAATTCCAATTACCGGAAGTAGACCGGAGCGTACAACGTCCGAAACGTCGGAAACATGACCATAAAGACGAGGACAACAGCTCGAACTATACAAATTTTTGAATAACTTTGGTCTTTCCTCTTAATAATTACATAAACATTTTGACGATTAAACATTTTTTTATCAATTCTGGTAATTTTGTTCTTTTTTGGGGGGTGGGGGATGTACCTACATTTAGGAATCTACCATTTGTTTCATTTTCCTTTGTTATTATTGCAATGTGAAATAATTAAGATAGCATGCCATGCTGTCGCATATTATTGAAAATAAGCATAAAAGTTTCCTTTTGTAATGAAGGATCGTGTTTCCTCCATTTTCAGTGCACATTCCTTTAAACTTTTCCTGTCGTTCATACTTGGGAAGTCTATGTGCTGTATTTTTAGCCTCTTAAAATTCTACCACTTTCGTAAAAAGACGAGACCCAAATGCGAGGATACCATGGACTTAACATGTGAGCAACGATGAGGCTTTGGAGAGGATGCAAACAAACAGGAAACTTATACTTAACATCAGGAAGAGGCAGTTGAAATTTCTGGAACACGTATTGAAAAAGGAGGGTTTAGAAAATCTGATACTCACAGGGCGGATAGAGGGAAAGAGAGAGAAGAAAAAGCAACGCGTGACATACCAAGCAGGCTTAAGCAAGTGGATGACAGAACATGATTTGGGAGAATTAGTAAAAGGACAAAATATATTGAGAACTATAAGAAATAGGGAGAAGTGGAGAGCTTACGGTCAAATCACGCTGAAACACCGGTTCTCGTACGATCACCGAAGTTAAGCAGCGTAGAGCCAGGGGGACCGCTTGGGAACACCTGGTACTGTAATCCCCCAAAGTCCAACCCTTACCTCACAGTCGATGGTGTAAACGGTAGTGTCAGAGCTATGCCGCCCGGAACTTCGTTCCTGGTAGGTCCACCCAAGGCGGACAGGTCTGACACACACGCAGGCTAACAAGGGCTCTAGTGAAAATCCAAGGAGCGTCTGCATCGGTAACCGGCGGCTTCTGGTCGTTCCTGTCTCTGCGTCTGTGGGAACCCCGCGGCAAGCAAGAACGTTATCCGAGTAGGCCTGGGTACCCTACTTCTGTAATGTATCCCAAGAATCTTCTTCTCATAACAGGAAGAAGCCGGCTCAATCCGCCCAGGGTGAATGCCGCATCAGTACAGTACAGAAGTGGATAGCCATGATTGTCTACTGAAGAAACACGTACCATAAAAAGGAGCCAAATGGTTAGCAATTTTCTTAATATCTACTAAATATTTTTCAAATGATTTTACACTAATTGTTCATTTTCCTTCATGTGTTAATATGTTACTACAGTTCGAAGCATTTTTGCCACCTGCAGCAGTCAATAATTACTGAACAAAGAATAGCAGAAAATGTACTAACCTTTTGGGCATATTTTTCATATTGCCTTTATAGTAACATTGCGACAGTTTTGCAAGCCATTGACAGTCATTATTGTGTACTTCAAGTGCATGCATGATAATTTAAACTTAAAAAAACTGTTTTTACGTCCACGTTTTCTAATGCGACTTGTATGTTTCTCCGGCCAGATTAGATTATCCATAAGATTGGATTATCTTCGTCTGTAAGTCATACAGATGTCAGAGTGAGGTTATGTTTCTTCTTTTTTTTTTTTTAAATCATCAGCTAGTGTTTTATAGAAACTTTCTTTCTTTTTTTCAAGAATTTCTTTTGTCTATTCTTTCATTTTTCTTTTTTTAAAATTCATTAATTATTTCTTTTTATTTGTCAATTCTTCATTGCATTGTTTCTCTTTCCTTTTTCTCTTTCTTTATTTTCTTTCTTTTATTTGCTTTTACTTTCATTTCATTTTTCCTCGTACTTTCATTCTTATATTTTTTCTTTTATCGCCAATTCTTTCTTTTATCATTAATTCTTTCTTCCTTTTATTTTTTTCATTCAATCCATAGTTCTTTCTTAATCTTTAAATTTTTAATACGTCTTTCGGTTTTCGTTCTTTTTTCCTATTCATCTTTTATTCATTCATTTCCTTCTTTTTTTCTCTCATTTTCTATTTTCCACTTTACTTCTATGACCACAAATTTCCCATTCCTTAAAATTCAATCACCGAGTTATTAGTCGTCTGCCGTATCGAAAGCGTTCAATGCCGGGATCACAAAAAGTTGAAAATCGATGAGGAATAACGGAAATGGAGTGGTTTGGGTATGGCACAGTTTACGGGCCATTGACCAGCGCGAAAAAGGGAGAGGTTTCTTCCGAGCTGTTGTTATTTTTTAATTCATCAGCACAAAAATAGTCAAATGAACCCGGTTCGGTTTCTATAAAATTCATTCAATAATGTTCAACTTCCCTCATTCTTTAACCCTTTGTCCCACACTTACTCTCTCAGCTCCACACTTCTCTCTCTCTCTCTATCTCTCTCTATATCTCTCTCTCTCTCTTGGTCTGAGACATATCAACTCTCTCCTACTATTTTTCATATATGCCAATTCGTCCCCACTCACTATTACACATACACTTTTTCTTTCCTTCTTTTAATGTACAAACTGATATTAAATAAAACGTATGCATTATTGAAAAGGAACTCATGGTTGTAAAAAGCGATATTATATATACATATATATATATGTGTGTGTGTGTGTGTGTGTGTGTGTGTGTGTGTGTGTGTGTGTGTGTGTGTCTGTGCGTGTGCTGGTATATAGAAAAATAGGAAAGAACACGTTAGGTAAATAATTGGAGTTCTTTAGTATTTTTGTTTAAAAAAACAGTGCTCCATACAGAAGTAGAGCTAATAATTATAATAAATAATTATATATATATATATATATATATATATATATATATATAAAGGCAGGGTGTGTGTGTGTATGTGTGTGTGTGTGTGTGTGTGTCTGTGTGTGTGTGTGTGTGTGTGTAACGAATGCACGGCCGCAATTTTCGACGGACTTTACATGCACATGCTCCAAGTTAGCGGGAAGGCCAAGACCGACTTTGCATTTGCCAACTCCCATTGATAGTGGAAATAATCGATTTTTTCATGCTTCTACGGCAATTTTCATGTAGTTTGCGGCCATTTTCTACTGGTCAGAGTGAGAGCCTATAGCTGGCTGCCACGAACAGGCAGGAAGATTCTATTGGCTAGCGTGAGAACCAATAGCTGACTGACACGAATGTTAACTAGCATGCTAGCATGCAAAAAAAAAAAATTAAAAAAATCGATAGCTGCATTCGTCACAAGTGGGAAAAATTTAAATCTGCATGGCACTTCACTCCGATTAGCTCATTCGCTTGGTTAAACTCAACATTTATTCTGATTCCGCAGAACTGGGTTGGGCGTGAAAAAGTATTTGTTGTTAACATTCTTTTTTCATTCGGTTTTTCCAGTCACGAGTCCTTTTTTAAATCTGATCGTTTTGTATTCATTTTGTTAAGTTCTTTTTTCGTAACAGATTTAATGTTTAGTATAGAGCTTAGAAAAATTCGCAGTGTGAGATAGGCAAGAAGTAAGGCATGTAGCAACATCAGCACGGCAAAGGGCACTCCTTTAAAGGCAAGGAAGGGCAAACATATTTTAAGTCAAGTGATAGCGATTGCTGTATGAGTCGTACGATTTTTGAAATAAGCACGGGCAATGCTGGGCCATGCTGCTAGTATATATATATATATATATATATATATATATATATATATATATATATAAGTGTAGTATGAACAGAATTATGTATGCCCATATTATTTCCTTCAAGGTGGGATATGTACGTTCAGGGATGCCCTTCTATATACAGACGAACCTCTCATCAACGGACTAATACAGGGGGAGAGGTGGTCCGTCAAAGCCGATTATCCGTAGATGGGAAGGGATTATTTTTGAGTTATAAAACCACTATAGTAACTACCAGTAGTTAGGATCCTAATGTAAATAATATGATGAGGTCAGAACAAGTAATATATTTATCAAAATAAAAAATAATTGATTTCTCACAGCTACTTTCTCACGCATGCGCTAATGTATCGTACTAAAGCCCGCAAATTTTGAAATACGTAGCTGACGATTTGGAAGTGTTTTTTTTTTTTTATTATTTTGCCTGCAGATTTTGTCCGTTGAATCCGAAGTCCGTTGATGGGTGGGTGGGGTTAGTCCGTAGATAAGAGGTTTGTCTGTACTTCTGTTGGCTGACCTGCTGTTACGTTTCTCTCAGCATGAACAGGTTTGGACATTCTATTCCGGCCTCTTTCATCCAGAATTGACCCAAAGTATTGCTGTAAAGTTGCATAAAAGAGCAAATGAAATGCTCTTTTATGCAAATCTATAATCAGCCAATGAAGGAACAGCAGTCTAATGGATATAGGCATTTAAACATGGGCATTTCATTGCGTGCATTAGTATAAGGAAGTTGGGTAATTTAACTTTGAACGCTGTGAGGACATTAATACAGAGAGAGAGAGAGAGAGAGAGAGAATTAATATAAGTAAAATCTTTGGCATTAAGCTGATTGATGTTACCTTTAGTATCCCGATTCCAGAGTTTTGTTGATGTACCCGTCCGTCCATTCTTCAGTCAATTGCTGATACCCAGCAATTAACTTTTTTTTTAAAGCTTTTCACCCCAAGCAAGGCGGAAGTGTCACTAGCACCCAAGGGGTTACAGAGGATTGAGAGCAAGTGTAAAGAGGCGTGATAGAGGAAAGGATGTAGAGAAGGACGGAGAATTGATCAAGGCCTCTGAAAATATTGATCGACATTGCATTTGAATAGTTGGAGATTATAGCTATCAGGGAAGCGAGTAAGTGGAAGAGAGTACCACAGACAAGAAGTGCGAGACATGAAGCTATTGGAGTAGAAGAGACGGCTACATTAACCGACAGTGAAAGGGTGGGACTGAGATGCCGACCTGGTGGCATGTTTAAATTTATGCAGTTTGGGAATTAGCAAAAGTAGCTCGTCGGGGAAGTTACCGTGTAAGTATTTGTGAAAAAGACAGCGGGTGGCGACTGCACGTCTGTGAGAGATCGACTGTAAACGAGATGCCAGATTAGGGCCAACCACATTGGATATCCGTCTCTGGATTTTGTCGAGGACCCAAAGACGAATCGCGGGGGCTACACACCATATATGGCAGCAGTATTCGATGCATGGGCGAATGGTTGATTTCTAGATTTGATGGATGGACTCGGGCGAGAAAAGTCTTTCTGGGGCGACACAGGGAACCAACTTTCTTGCGGTGCTTACCTCATCTTCAATAAGTCATAAATGACAGATGAAGTAACGTAATGCACTTGTCTCTATTCCTGACATGAGGTATTGTAACTATTTACACCATTTTCATTGTTTAGAGTGTTGTCCTCACATTTATTGTCATATTCACGACGTTTCAGCCGTTGTACGCCTCAGATTTCTTCAGGTGATATACGTTGGAATTTCGAACCGAACCCTTTTTGGGGTCCACTGACGTAGATTGCTCTAATTCCACGTGCCATGTCTTATCTGGATATCTCAGTTTCAGTTAATTACTTTTTGTAACTAAATTCTCCAAGTTTTTGTTCACTTCTAAACTGGATAAAAGCGTTGATTAAAGTAATCCAGTGACCTGACGCAAAGAGTTAGAAGTTCAATACCTGGCTACAGCAGAGATGAATTATACATACATACATATATATATATATATATATATATATATATATCGCACATTGATTATTGGTGTCAATAAAATAGTCGTCGATGCAATATAACTGTTATTTAGCAATATATATAGGTATATATATTTTTTTTTAAGCATTTCACCCCAAGCAAGGCGGGAAACCACTAGGACGCAAGGGGTTACAGAAAATAGCAAGATCAGATAGGAGTGATAGAAGAAAGGATGAGGGTAGTGGATAGATTAAGGCAACTGTAGATGTCGATTGACATTACACTTGAATAACTGGAGATTATAGCTCACAGGGAAACAGGAGAAGGGAAGAGAGTTCCACAAGCGAGAGGTGCGAGACATGAAGCTATTAGAGTAGAAGAGACGTCTACATTTAGGAGTTTCGACAGTGAAGGGGTGAGAGCGGGATGTCACCCTCGTAAGGCGCTGGAACTCGTGACGTCTGGGAACCAGCGAATGCAGCTCCTCGGAGCAATTTCCATGAATGTATTTGTAGAACAGACAGAGGGAGGCGACGGCGCGTCTGTGAGAAAGTGACTGTAGACGAGACGCCAGGGCAGTGCCAACCATATTGCATATCCGCTTCTGGAGCCTATCAAGAACCCCGAGGCAAACAGAAGGGGCGCCAGACCATATATGGCAGCAAATATATATATATATATATATATATATATGAAGAGTGCAATTGTCGCCATTTCATATTTTAATTTCGCGCATACGCGTTGATTTTATTTGATTTTGTCGACTGCACAGTATAGTAGGGTCAGTTGGGTACCACCGGTAAGAAAAAAAGCAACATGACGCAATTCACTCCAGAAATTTGAAATTGCCATACTGTACTGTTTGGCATTCGCAACAGAATCTCCAATACAAATATTTCTATTGTGTTTGGCTGTCAATCGGAGGACAGTGCATAGGTTTCGGAAAGTGTTTGATGAGTCAAATGCTGATTACATAGTTACGACAGCTCAGGAAACTCGTTGTGAATTTTCAGATTAGAAAAGAACTCGCAAATTTGTTCCTGAGGGCCTCAGACTCAACAGAGAGGTCTACATCAAGTGCCTTGAAGAGATAATGCTGCTCTGGGTCAAGAAGGTGGCTGCTGGAAGACCCTATGTCTGGCAACAGGACTCTACTCTATGCCACACATGCAAGCGAGTCATGGCTGTCAAAAGATTTCTGCACCCACATCATCCTCTAACACCCCAAACAGCAAGCGCAATGATTATTATGTGTGGGGCGCAGTTGATCGAGAGACCAGCAAAACTCCTTGTAATACCAAAGATGAACTAAAAGCAAGTATTATGACAGCATTCAATAACTTAAACAAGGAAACTGTCCAGAAGAGAAGAAGATTCCGAAGTAGTGGTGATTTTATTGAATAAATTTACTTTTTAGTACGTCAAGATGTTTTTGTTCAATTTCAGTAATTATATCGGTTAAAATGAGATGTCCGTGTTATTTTCATTTTTGCGTAATTTAGACGACAAATTATCCACCGCACTCTGGATATATATATATATATATATATATATATATATATATATATATATATATATATTTTTACAATTTACTCACTAAAGATGCAACCTTGTTTCGGTGCATTTAGTTTTCACCTCGACTGGTGAGAACTAAAATTGTTATCTATAACCATTAACAATAACCATTTTGGTTCTCACCAGTAGAGGTGCAACTAAATGCACCGAAACACGGCGGCATCTTTGTAGTGAGTAAATTGTTTTTGTCTATATGAAAAAATTATAATAAATAATTATTGCTCTACTCTCGGTATTGAACCCTCTTTTTTAATTAATGCTGTGAACGTTGGAATTTATATATTACTTTCCCATATATATATATATATATATATATGAAGAAAGAAATAGATAAAATAACATGACGTAATGTCTGCGTGCTTAAATGAAACGTTTTACGCCTCCATTTTATATTCCATATGATTATAAAAACTGGCTTTCATCTCAGAATATATTTTATGAGTCACCTTTGACATCTTTTTTTCTGCGTCGACCACTGGTCGTTAAACTATTAATATTTTATTATTATTATTTCTTCTTCTTCTTCTTCTTCTTCTTCTTCTTCTTCTTCTTCTTCTTCTTCTTCTTCTTCTTCAGGTTTATCTCCCTGTTCTGTTGCTTCTTTGCTCTTCACTCTTTTCTTGTTTTGCTTTTCTTTTTTCGTTTTCCCCTCCTTTAATCATTCTAATCTTTCTCTCTTTGTCTACCGTTCTCACTTTTCTCTAACTTTTCAATATATTTATGGCCTTTTAACCTTTCCTTACCGTTCCTTAAATTGTAATCAAATCATTCTCGTTTTCTTTCAGATAATTGTTCGACATCGTATTATTTTTCAACGGTGCGTCTGCTTACTTTTCCTCTTTCTTTCCTTTAATAACCTTCCGGTTTTTATTCACATCTTTTAGAGACGATTGCTTTATTTCCAGTATTTTTAATTCCTGCTGATCCATTCCAGACGCCATCTTATACCCATAATATGTGGCATTGCGAGAAATTGCATCAGTTTTCAGTAGAAAACGACAGTAGTAAATGTGTTCAAATTGCGGCTGAATTTCGTCACCTTCACTTCGTCCTGCCAAATATCTTGAAAAAGAAATGTCATCCAGATTTTCCGATTACACTGTCCAGACATTGTTGTCAATTGTATCCAATGAGAAAAATGTTCAGAAAACCCAACTAAATACAAAACATTTTCAAATAAATACCATGCTTTCTTTGCCTGTGCATGAGTAGACCAAAGAAAAATAAACGGCAACAACAAAGAGTAGAATTCTATGTGCAAACCTTTAAATACACTTATGCACAAAAAAGAAATTAGAATCACTCAAGAAAGGAAAAAGAAACATTTTAAACTATATAAATAGTCTCTATTTATCTCCTGTTGTCAAAGTTCTTTGTCTTAAATAGTCCATCGTCGAGCAGTTGACCATTTGTCTCTGCCAATGATCTTTGAGTGGTGATTCCAGTTTGTTTTTTCTCCACTGACCCAACATTTCAACATTGAAACTGACAAAAACAAGCGTATCACAAATCCCTAATTTTCAACAATGTTTTCAAATGGGGTCGACACCAAAGTCCTATATTTTGTACAAGGAGAATTAGTAAACTTACTACAAAATGACACTAGGCCCTTTCTAAAAAAAGAAATCGATAGCTCAATAATTATTTATAATAATTTATTCTCGTTTATGTGTCGTGTGAATTATCACTTGTTTTCCAACCTCTTCCTCATAAATCTGTAGCTACTCTGTCGTTATTTCCATGATAAATATTCAGATGATCTCCATTCTTTATTCAACTAAGAGAAGCTATGTCACTTCCACAGAGTTAAACAACTCCCATTTCCTCCATAATCAATATATATATATATATATATATATATATATATATATATATATATATATATATATATATATATATATAAAAAAATCAACTCAGTCTTTCCCCCAAGAAATGCCACTTTATGAAACAAACTTCCGCTAGGGTGCTTCCCTGAATATTATACTCTTGACCTCGTCATGTTTCCTCCTCATGCACATAATCATCATTTCTTCTTTCCATTTATAGCATACAAATCATTCAGCACTACCATTTTATTGACTGTAGCCCTTTAGCTTCAGTAACTCTCGAGCCTTGTATTACGTGAATTTTAGTATGAAAAAACTGCGGAATATTCACGAATGTTTACGAAGCCGAGAGATAAATAGACCGACTCCGTGAAAAAGCAGAGGTCAACAATAATGATTGAAAAAAATATAATTAACGAATCACATAAAAAACAAACTTGATACTAGCAAGGAATTACTAAACCCTCAGTTACATATTTCATGATAACAGACTGTATGAGTAAACTAGTACTTTATCAGTCAGTTATGTGCCATGCATGATACCCGCTTAGGCGATCATGTAACTTTCGATACATGACTGACGAGGCAAATTTTTTTCCCGTAGTAGTTTGCTATTTCTTTCTGTGGTAGATCAGTTGCCATCCAAGGCTATAGAACCCGGTCTTCCTTGCTATTTATCCATAGATGGGGGCGGAGAAGAGGATTCTCAAGGGTATTAGCACGTAAGTGAATGTAATGGATTCGAATGGAATTCGAACTCGGCTCTCCAATTCCTTGATCCGAGCCGCTATCCATTACTCAAAGACAACAGAAGAAAAAATGAATAATATTTCAATATCAAAGGCGATGTTTGCACAATCATGAAAATTATACCATACAAACAACACAACAGAAGTGCGAGAAAAAAATCTATAAATTTATCATTAATGGTTGGGTCTTTGCAGACTCTATTTTTTTTTAAAACCAGACTCAAAAACTGGTGTTAGCGAGATAAATGTTACACTTTATGTGACCACGAAAGCAAGTTGTTGCGGTCTAATTATAAATCAGCTTCTCAGTTTCTATTGAAAATATCAAACTCCCGTTGTTCAAATTCCCCGTGGTTGTTTTCTGCCATTTGTTTTCTTCGTGCGAGAGCAATGAGTCTCAAACGCATCGCATGCACGAGTCGATTTCATGTTTGTTCTGTTCAGTGTTGCTGTTAGGTTATATTTTCACCTATTTTGGTTTGCAATTGCGTGACGCTTACATATGAAAAGATTTTCTAAACTTAGGGAGGAAATATTTTTGCTTTAACAAACGTGGTCAGCGCTTAGGTTTATAAATAAGATGTAATCTGGGAGTTTAATGGCTTTCCCGCCATAGGAAAAAATCCCTCGTGACAAGCATAAGAGACTCATTAAAATTCAAATTTGCGTTCGACACGATTACCCCATCCGCATACATCTTGCACATCTACACACACACACGCACACAGACATTGTACTGCTCTCATTCTCTTTTTCTTCATGCATTCTAATTTGCATCTAACCACTTCTTTTGATCTCTCTCTATCTCTTTCTCTCATACAGACTCAATTTTTTTCCTATGACAATCTTCTCTCTCTCTCTCTCTCTCTCTCTCTCTCTCTCTCTCTCGCTCACAGACTCCCGCAAGACGAGATTTTACTAATCTCTCTTGTATTAACAGAAACTTTTCTTTCTTTTTCACTAACTCAAAAGGACGTTTTTTAATTTGTCTCTCTCTTCCTCTCTCTCTCTCTCCCACTCTCTCTCTTTCACACACACACACACACACACACACACACACACACACACACACACACACGTCCTCCTATTCTCTTTGTCTTTCAAAAAATCTCATATTTCTCTTAATACTCTCTCTCTATTTCTCTAACACTCGCAAAATATGCCTGACTAAAGAACACTATCGCTCTCATTTTGGGCCTGAGAGAATTAATTTAGAGTCAGAAAAATGAAGAATATTTCACAGAGATAACAACAATTTTCCCTTCATCGTTACGATTCATTTCAGGTAATTCAGGCAGGATTTGATAATTTCATTAGAAGAAGAATTTTAAAAATATCCAATATTTGCTGGACAAAGATAATGATTAGAAAGACGATCGCTATGAGTTTATGTGAACTTCCTTTTACTAAATCTTGTTATCACAAGCAAAATAAGGAAAAGCTTCAACATTGAAACTTAAACGGCCTATACACGTAGTAATCAATTTTAAAACATACACACACACACAAAAAAAATCACGTACACATTATATGTGAAATTCGACTGAAAATTTCATAGGCAGACCAAGATATAAATACAACAGTTGGTCGATTCAAGTAAACTTTTTTTTTTAAATCTTTATCACCCCATGCAAGGTAGTAAAGCCACTAAGACACAAGGGGTTACAGTGTGTGGAAGGATTAGGAACAAAAAAATATTAATAAAGGGCGGGAGAGTAGATAGCGATTGACATTGTATTTAAATTTTTGCAGATTAAAGTTGGCTGGAAAACATGGAACCGGACGGCAGTTCCACAAGCCAGAAGTGCGAGAAAAAATCTATTAGCATAGAAATTACGGCTACATCGAGCCAACTCAACTGTAAATTGATGAGATCTCGACCCCAGACTAGGCACTATAGTGAAGAGCTCATCCGAACAATTACAATGAAATTATTTGTAGAAAAGACACAAAGAGGCAACCTTACGACAGTATTAAAGTGACTGAAGCCTAGCCGCCAGATCATGACCAATAATATTGCTGATTCGTTTTTTGACTTTATCAAGGAGCTCAAGATAAATAGCAAAATTTATGTGGCAGCAATATTCTAAGTATGACTTTTAGTGTTCAAACTGGTTTGTCTACTTAGATTTATATCTTTGTTGGGCTATGAACTTTCCAGCCGATCCTCGTTTCTTATATATATATATATATATATATATATATATATATATATATATATATATGTGTGTGTGTGTGTGTGTGTGTGTGTGTGTGTGTTTGTGTTCGTGTGTGTGTGTATGTGTTTAAATAAATTAAATTTAAATTGTGGAAAGCTGATCTCCCAATTTCAAGATTTGCAGAATTTAATCTGTTCATAGATAGAGAGGATTAGATAAAATTGACTTTATTGACAGACATCATATATTGCTTAAAACTGCTTATTTTAAAAGCGTTATTTTCCAATAAGACACAGCTATATGTCTGTGTACACAATATATATGTTCGGAATTAGACATATATTAATGAAGGATTGCGGACGAAATACATAATATATATATATATATATATATATATATATTATGTATTTCGTCCGCATATATATATATATATATATATATATATATATATATATATATATATATATATAATGTATTTCGTCCGCAATCCTTCATTAATATATGTCTAATTCCGAACAAGGGAAAAGACATTTGTTGTTACTGTCTGTCAGGTTTTGCTCCAGCATTTTTGTCTATTCGTTTCGCCATTAAGAAGATGCAAAACGACAATGATTAGGTACAAAAATCTGTTAATCTTAACTACTTTCGAAAATATCGTCATTGGGGTGTTTGTGCATGATGATAATGCTACAGACTAGAAAACATGCAAGAGATCAAGGGAACACGCACTAAGCAGTTTTTAAATACATTCAAAAACTAATACTTTGAAAAAAGTATTTTTAGCGTGGATCCTTTATTGTATTGTTTGTACTTTGGTTTGACAAAGTTCAATTTAATCTACGAGATAAAGGAGTAGTTGAATTGTCTAACAAGTACTAAATGCTTGAATTTTGATAATATCTAAGCAAATGAATAGAAACTTTCGATCCAAACATTTGAACCATTTTAAAACAACCTGCTTATCGAAATGCATTCATTCCTAAACGCCCCCAAATTACTGCTTTTTCTCAAGCACAAAACACGCACATATAGGCGCATGCGCAAGCGCGCATTAATATGTGATATTATGCTCGAATAAATTTGTCCTCAATTTTACACCAGCCCTTCAAAGGAAGCCAGCTGTAATTTTGACCTGAGATTACAGCAGCCAAAGGTGGAGATTAGCGATTCACCCATCCTCAATGGTGATCCCGAGAGGGGAATGCCTGTGGGCTATTTTTAATAAGACAGATACCCACTAATACACAAACCGGTCGTAGTTTGGTAGACCACCGAACCACAGAAATGTAAATGGTTAATCTGATAAATGCAACCATCGACGAATGAACTTTTATTGTTTCTACAAGCAAGAGTGAGTTGTCACTTGTAAAAGTAGATTCATTCTTTATTTTCTTGCATCTTTCCACTTCTTTCATTATGAAGTTTCAACAAGTGTCACCTACGAAATCCTCAGATCAAAAACTTAAACACAACGTGAGTGTAAGTGGGGAATATCGATTGACATAGTGAAACGCCTCGGCAGCGGCCCTAAGCCCCACGGTAGAGAAGAGAAGGTCATGGGAACACACAGACAAATATTTACAGACCAGAGAATAGGTACTGTCATCATTTAAGATCAACCTAGATAACAAAATAAAAAAATGTGAACCAACTTTGAATCATGCATGAAAGAAGTTATTCTTTGGCAAATGCTTGCTTGAATTTGGTGTTAAGTAGCATTTCGTGCAGGTTTGTTTGTAAAAATATATATATATATATATATATATATATATATATATATATATATATACAGTTCAAAAGTCTGCGTCTACCTCTAGTAATTTTTTAAATTAGCACCAAAAGTGTTTTGTACTGTAAATAGGAGACAATTATTATACATGGTTAAAAGAAAGTGAGACATGATTTTTATTAGAAATTTTATTATAACAAAAAGTAAAATAAAATTATTTTATTATTAAATGTTGCTCTTGTCAAAATATCCTCCTTTAGCGTTGATTACTGCTGCAGAAATCTTTTGCATTCGTTGCAAAAGTTTCTCAAATATAAGGTTGATAATTGATTCAACCTCTTTTTTCAGTGACTCTAAGACCTCTTTTTCCTTTCTGTCAAGTTTATCCTATACTAATTCTGCGGCTAGCTTCAAATTTTTTTGAATTGTATATATATATATATATATATATATATATATATATATATATATATATATATATATATATCCTTAGACGGAATGACTTTACAGTTTTAACAGTAAAAAAAGCTGCACCGTTTATTCATAGATTTTGAAAATGACCTACTGGAAATAATAACATAAATTTCCATGAAAAGAAATGTTACTTCCAAAAATGCCTGGATAAAACGGTAAAAGACATTAACACAACGGATAAAATTTTAGTGAAATCCGACAAAACAGGAAACTTCTATAAAATAACGACAAGGGACTACAACGATCTAATTAATAAGAATTTACATAAGAACTATAAAAAGGCAAATAGTAATTACCTCAACATGGTGGAGAATATTAATACTAGCAGTAAAAAAAATCATAGATAACTGAAGATTAGTGATAGAGTAGGTAAACTTACTGAAAAAGTGTGCTGTATAATCTTAAAAGAACACAGACCAGATTTCGAGGCTAATCCGACTACAAGGATAATAAATCCAACAATACCTGAGATCAGCAAAATAAGTTCAAATATCCTAGAAAGGGTTAATCAACAAATTAAAGAAATAATAGGTCTGAAACTTTGGATTAATACCAAAGACGTGACAAACTGGTTTGCTGATATAATGGATAAAACTAACTGTACACAAATGCAGTCTGATATTGAAAATTTTTTATCAATATCTAAAGAACTGTTCATGAATGCGTTGGACTTTGCTACCCAGTACACGGACGTAACAGAAGAAGAAAAGACCATTATTATACATGCGAAAAAATCGGTACTGATAAAGAAAGGTGAGCAATGAATAAAAAAATCTTATGACCACTTTGACATCACAGTGGAATCACTAGACTCAGCTGAGTCTTCTGACCTTATAGGTCTTTTTATATTATACAATCACACAACGTACCGTGAAATTAATATAACTGACATTGGTTTATACAGAGACGATGGACTTATGGTTATAAAGAACTATACTAACATTAAAATCGATAAAATTAGAAAGATATTATATAAAGAATTTAAATGCCTGAACTTAAAAATTACGTAAGCATTAAATTAAAAAAGTTAACTTCCTTGATATAACATTAAATTTAATGAAAAATGTATGAATACTTTATAAAAATCTAATACTAATCCTTTATATATACACCCTAAATCTAGTCATCCTCCATCTATAATTAAGCATATACCTTTATCTGTCGAAAAAAGACTGAGTAAATGTGTGTGTTTGTCTGTGTTTAGTCAGCATTTTTTCATTGATACATGTTTCATTAAATAATATAGACAAGTGTTGTCTATTTATTTTATGTAAATTCTTTTCATATCGTCTAAGCTTAATAATATTATCATTAAACTGAGAAAGAAAATCACACTATTGATACATATTTTTTAATCATATCTAAGCTTTCATCTTACATAAGCCATTATCAAAGATGACAATTACATTACAATATATTAAGCAATACACGGACAAGACATTGATGATAATCTGTTTCTGTTTACATGGAAGATTTCCAAGCAACGACAAACTCGTGCATATAAAGACGATAGAAGCGAAAATCGCAACGCAGCTCATGACGTAACACATGACCACGCGAGAGTGAAAGTATGGGAAGCCGTTGGTATGAACCAATGATTTCTGTTATAAATTATAGGCATT